TTTGGAGGGTGGGAGTGGGCGAAAGACCAGCCAGCACAGAGAGGGCTGCCCTATCAACAGTGCAGAAGGCGCCATCCCCTCCCCCCGTTGCCATGCCCCAAGCCATTCACACCCTCTTCCCTGTGCCCCACCAGAGCTGCCAGGCAAGCCCCCTCCCTTCGAGGATCCAGTCTGCCCACCCCTCATCCACCCTTCCTCCACATCGACCACTCCTGGCACATCCCTTGTTTTGGCAGGCTGAGGAACAACCTCTCCGTTGTCCTTGAGTGAAGATGATTCACTTAGCGACACACTGTGGCCGTTCGCCTTTACGGCCAACCACAGAGATGCCGCAACATGCCCTCTTTCTATTTCTCCTATCCAATCCCTTCGCTAGCCTCCCGGAACCCACTTGCTCTTCTCCGCCCCATTTCCAATCGCTTGCTTTCCCTTTTCGAAGAACTCCAGAGGAATCTGATCCACGCGGCGGGAAAGCGACCGTCTTTTACTCAGATGCCGCCGCTGCCGTTTCCTGTCCCTGTCGCTTCTTTCAGCGTCTGAGTAAAAGACGCTGCCGTGTTTCAGCCACGAGGCAGCAGAATGGCAGGCTTCATTGGTTTCCATGTGGCAGCGGCACCACAACGACCTCTTACTGGCTGTTGGTTGAAACCAGGAGCTTCAGTGGATGGGTCAACCTATTCAGGAGCTCTGGAGATTTTTGAAAAGGTGATTGAGTAAAAAGGGCAACTAGGTGGGGAGGAGCAAGTGGAATCTGGGAACAATGGAACAACTTGCGGTGGTCAACTCACTGTGGCCGACTCGCATGGCCCACTTGTTGGACAACTCGCTATGGGACAATTTAACAATGTTATTTCACGATTGAAAAGAAATCCAAATTATGTTCATTTTTGCCATTCCCATTTCATTCTGTCCCTCCTTTTGCACCCTTTCTTTAAATCAGGGGTGCTCAACTCAAGGCCCGTGGGGCCACCCTGGAAAATGTAAGAGGATGGCCCATATCACTTCGGTCTGGTGAAACAATCGGGCTAGCGTGGCTTCAGCTCGGTCTACCCAGTGCAAAGAGGAAACATGCCAGCATTTTGGGGAGTGGCCTCAAGCTGGCCACATCCACCCAGTCAGCCATACTCCCCCATCCCCTCCCCCAACGTTCCGTCGGCCTGATCCACCAAAAAGCACAGACAAGGCACCGAAGGGAAGGCAAAACGTTTTATTCAATGGAGAAAGAGGCTCCAGCCACTGGGAGGAGGAAGAATTAAGGTGCATCGTCGCCCAAGCACAACCGTTTGCAGCCAGTGCCCCGTGGAGGGTGACACCACCCCCCCCCAATATCCCCAAGCAGGCCAGACCCCCCACTCACCCAGGTACTTTTCAGCCTCTGTGGAAAGAGGGAGGCAGCTGAATCGTCCAGGAGTCTGTTGTCGGTGTGGCAAGAGGCTGTGCGAAGGTTTTCAGGAGGGGCCATCCTGGGAGGAGGGGGAGAGCAGGGGCAAGGCCTCGGTAGAGTTAAACATGAAATGAAACCCTTTCCCACCCCCCCAAAAAATATATCCTTTGGACTTGGGCTTCATGGGGGAGACACAGCAAGGTGGGACCCCCAGAAGTCACTTGCCCCCAACCCCACTGTGAAGCACCACTGGAACGACTCCGAAGAGCCAAAAAGACCTCGGGCGGATGACCTCACGTCCCAGGACTGAAATCCTGACAGAGCACTCAAACATTCCCTCCGGGAAATCCATATCCGTTGGAAATGTGGGGCAGAAATTCTGCCTGGCGATTTGCTCTGGGAGGATGCAGGAATGGTGTGGGTAGCTGGGCGTGCATGAGGGACGGAGGGAAGGGGGAAGATAAAATGAGGAGGGAGAGTGGAACGAAGGAAGGAAGAAAGGGAGATGGGAAGGAAAAGGGAGAGGGAGATGGTAAGGAAAGAAAAAGGAGGGAGGATGGAATGAAGGAAGATGAGGGAAGGGAGGGAAGAAAGGGAGGAAACGGGGAAGGTGGTAAGGAAGGAAAAGAGGAAGAGGGAGGAAGAGAGGAGGGAAGGAAAAGGGGGAGGGAGGGAGGAAGGTAGGAAGAAAAAAGAGTAAGGAAGGAATAAAGGTGAAAAAGAAGGAAAAGGAAGAAAAAAAACAGAAAAAGGGAGAGAGGAAAGGAAGGAAAAGAAAAAGAGAGAAAGAAAAAGAAACTAAGAGAGTAAGAGCGAGCCAGTGAGAAAGAAAGGAATGGGAAAAGAGGAGAAAGGAAGGAAGGAAGCAAAAGAAAAGAGAGAGAGAAAGAGGGAAGGAAGGAAGGGGAAAAAACAAAGTAGAAAATGAGGGTGGAAAAAGATGATGGAGGGAAGAAAGAAGGGAAAAGAGAGAGTGCAAAAGAGAGAGCACAGTCAGCCTTTGTCCTGCACCGCCCCACTCCGAGACCCCCTTTTCTCACCCCTCCACTTGGGGACCTTCGTATACTGGAGTCATGCACCCCAGACAGACCCCCTCAGCAAGGCAGCGACTCTGCTCAACAGGTCCAGCTCAACCAGGATTGCTTGAAAGCTTCTAAAACAGGCCGAATGTGGTAACAGTCAACAGGAGCCGCGAAACCCGCTGAGCAGCAGGGACAGCAGTGNTTGTCGGTGTGGCAAGAGGCTGTGCGAAGGTTTTCAGGAGGGGCCATCCTGGGAGGAGGGGGAGAGCAGGGGCAAGGCCTCGGTAGAGTTAAACAGGAAATGAAACCCTTCCCCTCCCCCCCAAAAAAGTATACTTTCACTTGCCGTGAAATTTTTCTTTCCGAGGGTAACGCTCCGTTCCCCTAGAAGTGAACGGATACTTCGGGATTGAACACCTACCAAGGACCACAACAGTCCCCAACTGCCTGTGGAACTGGTCCCGATGACCACCAGTGGCATCCTCTGGGGGCTCCCTTTGGGTGGGGGCAGGAGGGGTCTGTTCCCCAGCTGAGACTTACCCCACATCCCAAGACAGCAGCCCCACAGATGTGACGATTCCAAGAAAACGCCGCTCTCTAGATGTGGCCGGGAGATGCATTGCATGACACGGTCATTGCTATCGCAAGATTTCCTGGGGTGTGGGGTGGGTGATTCCCTCCTTACAAAAACTGCAGAATTTTGCATATCTCCCCACACTCCAAATTTGGCAGGGCGAGAACGGGGCTCCCCTAGTAGGACACCCGGCAACTAAGAGAAGAGCCCCTTCTCGGCCCCTGTCCTGCTCACCCAGAGGCTGGCTGCCTCCTCTCGCCAGCCAAATGGCTGGAAGGTCAGAGGTCACTGGAGGCATGAGGGGGAATTTGCTTCCTCTTCCCCCCCTCCCCCACGCCAGGCAGGAAAGAGAGACAGAGGCAGAGACAGACACCAGGCTCGGTCCTCACAAATATGCCAAGGGGGAAACGGCTGTGGTAAATTTAACGGGGTTGATCTGTAGTGGTTTGGCCCATGCACTGACTGCCTTAAGAATGGGGTGTTCCCCCCCCTCCCTGAGTGGGGAGGGGAAGCACCCCGAGTGGAGAGGAGGGTCTTTTATTTATTTTATTTTATTCCATTTCTTCAGTGGAGCAATCATAGGTTGAGTTTGGGTGGGTATAGAGAGAGGTTGTCTCTCTGTCAGTGCATAAATTGATAGGGTTCCTGGGTGAGCTAAGGATGAGGGCGAAGGGGAGAGCATGGCATGGGGACGCCAACATCTGTGGAGAAAAGAGCCTGGATTCTGGGGTGCCACAATTTATAGGTGCTAATTTACGGTTATGGTCCCGCAGCCAGAATTGAGAAGCAAACTGGTCGAAATTCAGATTTGGGACTTGGGCTTCATGGGGGTGCCACAGCAAGGGGGGACCCCCAGAAGTCACGTGCCCCCAACCCCACTGTGAAGCAGCCACTGGAATCACTCCGAAGAGCCAAAGGGCAGAAATTCTGCAGGGTGATTTGCTCTGGGGGGATGCAAGAATGGTGTGGGTGGCTGGGCGTGCATGAGGGAGGGAGGGAGGAAGATAAAATGAGGAGGGAGAGTGGAACGAACGAAGAAGAGAGGGAGGGAAAGAAGGAAAGGGACAGGGAGGGGAGGGAGGAAGAAAGGAAGATGGGAAGGAAAAGGGGGAGGGAGGTGGTAAGGAAGGAAAAGAGGAAGAGAGAGGACGGAAGGAAGGAAAAGGGGGAGGGAGGAAGATGGGAAGGAAGAAAAAGAGGGGGAGGGAGGAAGAAAAGTGAAAAGGAAGGAAAAGGAAGGAAACAGAAAAAGGGAGAGAGGGAAGGAAGGAAAAGAAAAAAAAGAAAACAGAAAGAAAAAGAAAGCAAGAGAGTGAGAGCGAGCCAGTGAGAAAGAAACGAATGGAAAATGAGGAGAAAGAAAGGAGGGAAGCAAAAGAAAAGAGAGAGAGAAAGAGGGAAGGAAGGAAGGAAGTAAGGGGAAAAACAAAACAGAAAAAGAGGGTGAAAGAAGAGAAAGGAGGGAGGGAAGAAAGGAAAAGAGAGAACACAAAGGAGAGAGCACAGTCAGCCTTTGTCCTGCACCGCCCCACTCCGAGACCCCCTTTTCTCACCCCTCCACTTGGAGACCTTCGTATACTGCAGTCTCGCACCCCAGACAGACCCCCTTGGCAAGGCAGCTCCTCTGCTGTAGCTCAACAGGTCCAGCTCATCCAGGAGTGCTTGAAAGCTTCTAAAACAGGCTGAACATGGTAACAGTCGACAGGAGTGGCAAAACCCGCTGAGCAGCGGGGACGCGCCGAGGCACAGCAGCAAAAGCTGAGGCCCAACTGCACAGTGAAGGGAGGCAGAGCAGGAAGGAGTTTTCTCCACAGGCAGAACTTGCAGGAGAAGGGGATTGGGGGGGGGGGGTCTTTGGGAACACAGCCCCTCCAAATTCTGAGTTTTCCTTCCCGCTTCTCCACGGTCTTCACAGACTCTGATCTTCCAAGCGACCTCTCTTTGCCGGAGCGACAAAGGGAGCAGTGAGGAACTTTCTGTGGGGCACAGATCTCTGGCTGGTTCCTCCATTCCTTGGTGGATTCTCGCACCAAAGATGCCCGCATGTTCCAGCTAGTTCCATGACGTAGTTGTCAACGGAAGTACTTCTACGGTCCCCGCCACGCCACGCTGTACGTCTTGGGTTCAATTCCACAGGGAATGACAAAGGAACTGCTTCCGAGGAGACTCATGATCCTCTGTTCACGGCACATGCCTCGGGTGATCCAACGGCTATCCCAAACCTCCACCCTCCCCCGGGCTCTTTGGCACAGCTCGGACCTTGCTCCCTATCGCCAGGCTGGTGGTCTAATTCGGCTACGGTCGGCGTTCTTCGGAGAAATGAGCTGGTTTTCCGTCAGAAAGGGACAAAAATGGAATGCAAAATGTGGAAAGGAGGATGTGAGACTCAATCGATAAATGGCTGAAAAAGAAAAAAGAAAAGAAAGGAGGTACAAAAATGCAGAAATATGGAAAGCACCCTGTGTCTTGTAGTTTTTTGTCAGTTCGCGGTCCCGAGACGTGAAAAGGGACTTGATGGAGAACGTAAAAAAATATTTTCCAGTATGTCCCTCGAACGACCGGATCCGGGATGGGGAGGGGGCTGCACTTTCTCCTTGGCCGCCTGCTCTTGGTCCCTTTCTCAAGCCTGCTGCCCGCTACCGCTCCGATTGCTCAGCCCCTGCTCAACCCTCTCAGCTTGTCTTCAGCTGAGGGACTCCCGCTCCCGGTGACTCCGACGATGTGCCGCCAGGTTGCCTTTCTGCGAAAAGTTCTTCTTGCATGTCACGCACTGGAAGGGAGCGTCTTCCCTGCGGAGCCTCGGTTTTGGGACTTTGGGGGTCTCCTCCTTTGCTTGCCGGGTCCTTGGCGAGCCAGCACGGCCGCTTCGTCCCCCTAAGGGTTTCCCAGAACCCCGACGGGAAAAGGCGGCCCGGGTTTGGGGAGGCTTCTCTTGATGCTTGACCCTCAGCCGGCGGCGCACAAAATCCTCCTCGCCCTCCTCATCGACGGGCCCCGTTTGGTCTTCCAGGTTGCCCTGCTGCTGCTGTTCGCAGTCGTCTCTTTTCTGGTGAGCGGTGAGCAACCGTTCTTCCCGGAAGTGCTTCCCGCAGACGGGGCAAGCGAAAGGGCGGCGGGCTGGGCCACCGTGAACCCGTTGGTGGGTGAGCAGGTTCTGCTTGAGGCTGAAGCGCTTCCCGCAGACGCTGCAGCCGAATGGCTTCTCGCCGGTGTGGATGCGCTGGTGGATGATGAGGTTGTGTTTGAGGCTGAAGCCCCGGCCGCACTCGGGACAGACGAAGGCTCGTTCGCCAGCGTGTTGCTGCTTTTGGTGGCGCAGCAGGCCCAGCGGCTGACTGAAGCTCTCACTGCACATGGCGCATTTATGCTCCTCTTCCTCCACCTGGCTGTGAATGACCAGCCCGTTCTCGTCCCCCGAGCTCTCCTCCCAGGCTGGGAAAGGGAACGGCCCCTCCCCCAGAGGGGAACTCTGGCGGGTCCGTCCCGCCACTGGCTCTTGGTCCGTCCCGTCCATGGGACCACCCCTTTCTGCGGAGAAAACAAAGACAGCTTCAAAGAGAGGTTGGCAAGAGACACATCGCGACCCCGATTTGTGCCACTTCGTTCAATTGCAGCCCGTGTCGAGGTGGCTTTTGAAAAATTAAAACCACTGTACACGATAATAATATCTTAAGGGCGCGGTGTCCCACCTTGGCAACTTTTAAGACGTGGGACATGAATGTCAAATCATACGAGCTGGAGAATTCTTGGAGATGACGTCCCCAAGTCTTAAAGCTGCCAAGGTTGGAAATCCATGTTTTACGGTGGGACCTGGTTTAAATTGCTATTCATCTCTATTTAATTCTTGCTCATTTTAATTTGGTTATCTCTGTCTATCTGCAAATCTCATGTCTCAATTATCTCTCTCTCAAATCTATCTATCTATCTATCATCTATCCATCTATCATCTCTATTTTCTCTCTCTCCATCCATCCATCCCTACCTACCTTCTATCTACTGATCTCATCTCTATTCTCTCTCCTATCTATCTATCTATCTATCTATCTATCTATCTATCTATCTATCTATCTATCTATCTATCTATCATCTATCTATCTTATTATCTATATATCATCTCTCTCACACACACAGTCTATCTATTTTCTCTCTCTCCATCCATCCATCCCTATCTTCTAGATACTGATTTCATATCTCTATTCTCTCTCTATCATCTATCTATCCCGATCTATCTATCTATCTATCTATCTATCTATCTATCTATCTATCCATCATCTCTCTTTTTCACAGACACATTGTCTATCTATTTTCTCTCTCTCCATCCATCAGTCCATCCAACCATCCAACCATCCATCCATCCATTATTCTATTTGTCTGTCTGTCTGTCTGTCTGTCTGTCTGTCTGTCTGT